TTTTCATAATATTTGCCTGCTAAAGCAATGCGCACATGATCTTTGACTTGCCATCTCATGTTCTGTCACTCTCTGGCATTCATCTGTCTATCTATCAGTCTCAATCTGTACATATCTCTATGTCTGTTCATATCTATCTATCTATCTATCTATCTATCTATCTATCTATCCCAGTCTGTCCATATTTATCTATCTATGTATCTATCTATGGCAGTCTCCTCAAAATCTATCTCATTCTCTATACAAATATATATATATATGAGACATGTATATATAACACACACACACACATATATATATATATATATATATATATATATAAAGACATATATATATATAGACACATATATATAAGAGATATATATATATATATGGGACATATATATATATATATTTAGATATATATACATATAAGAGACACACATATATATATATAAGAGACATATATATGGGGGACACACACACATATATATATATATATATATATATATATATATATATATATATATATATATATATATATACATATATATATATATATATATATATATATATATATATATATATATATATATATAGAGACATATATATATATAGGATATATATATATATATACATATATATATATATATATACATATAAGAGACATATATATATATGTATATATAAGACATATATATATATATATATAGATAAGAGATCTATCTATGTATCTATCTATGGCAGACTGCTCATAATCTATCTCATTCTCTATACACACGCACACACACACACATATATATATATGCGACATATATATATATATATGAGACATGTATATAACACACACACACACACATATATATATATTTATAAGAGACACACATATATATGTATATATATATTTATACACACATATATATATATATATATATGTGTCTCTTTATATATATATATATATATATATATATATAATATATATATATATATATATATATATATATAAGTGATATGTATATATATATATATATATATATATATATATATATATATATATATATATATATATATATATATATACCTGTCTATTTATAGCTACCTCATTGTGTTCATATCTATATGTCTCAATCTGTTCATATGTATCTATGTTCATATCTGTCTAAATATCTGTGCGCGTCTCCCTCTCTCTCACTTTCTGTCTATCTCTCTTAGTCTGTTCATATCTCTCTCAGTCTGTTCATATCTATCCATATGTGTATCTATCTATCTATGTCTGTTCATTATCTATCTAGCTAGCTAGCTAGCTAGCTATTTGCAAAAATAGTTAAGAAATATAATGGTTGTATTAATTTTAAAAGCATTAATTCAAATTCCTATTATTACACTGGCCATCACATTCTGTTTGGCATATTAGGTGAGACTGTATCCTGGGTATATTGGTGTCGCTGGATTCGAGAACTGTTTAGTCCAATTGGCTCTAGTTTTAGGATATTGCTGAAATGCTTTTTTTCGTCTCCGCCAATCTGTACCGAATGCTACTAATTGGAATATTATTTTACTGCTGCTTGAATATTTCAATAAAAACACACTTATTATGCTACTTAATCTATTAACTGATAATCAGACAACGTTGAATAAATGTATCACTTTTATTTAAGTTTTCTGATTGTATATGATTAAAATTTACTTACAGCCTGCCCCTATTTTAACAATGAACAAAGAAGAGGCAGATCATTTCCCAGTATTAGCTTCATTTATTACGAGATATTCATGAAAATTTATAAGATAAATATATGATTTCCAATCAAATTTCACGCCAAAAAATAAACTAGCAAAATATGTAATTTAAGCTCTTCAACATATCTTACAAGCTTAGTATCGTAATCCGTCTAGGTTATTCTACATTACTTCATCTGATTGAAGATTCTCTCATATGGCATCCTTTCGTGTTTTTTTCTGAGTGCAATCACGCATAAGGCTCCATCCGTAATTGGACATTATGTGGGCGTTCAATCAGCCTTGGCACCGCTTCTCCATTGTTTGATGTGTTGATGAAAACGTTCTCCGTGTTCTTCGCTTACATCATGATTATTCAATGTGGGCCATATGGCCCCCTGAGAACCGTGAAATATTTTCAGGGACTACAAGGCCAAGTTTCAGAAATGAGGGACACAAGAGAGCATAGAAAATGAAGATGAGGATAACAGTCCAAATAATGTAAATAATGTAAGTAATAATGATACCTCATCTCAGAGATATAGACAGAGAAATATGGCATAAATGTCGGAGAGTACAACTGCCGAAACGTTGTGTATATCGCAAAGATGATGAGGATAACAGTCCGAATAATGTAAATAATGCTAGCAAGCTTGCTCCTATTTTAACAATGAACAAAAGCCAAAACATTTCCCAGTTTTATCCTCATTTATTACAAGAGATTCATGAAAAATTATAAGATAAAAATAAGATTTCCACTCAAATTTCACACCAAAAGGAAACTAGCAAAATATGTAATTTAAGGCTGCATCCGTAATCGGACATTATGTGAGCGTTCCATCAGCCTTGGTACCGTTTCTCCATAATCTTGATGTCTTGGTTAAAACGTTCTCCGTGTTCTTCGCTTATATCATGATTATTCAACGTGAGGACCGTGAGATATTTTCAGGGGCTAGAAGGGCAAATTTGAGAAATGAGGGGCACAAGAGAGCATAGAAGATCTAGGACCACTATTGGTGAATCTCTGATCATGTCTGCAGTGGCATTAGTGATTTCAACCGTCATGAATCAGAGTCTACAAGAGGCAACAAGTGTTATTCCCCTAAGGAAGCCGTCCAGGTCATTGTACTTCATCTGATGGAAGCTTCTCTGATATGACATCCTTTCGTGTGTTTTCTAAGTGCAATCACGCAAATGGCTCCATCAGTAATCGGACATTATGTGGGCGTTCCATCAGCCTTGACACCACTCCTCCATATTCTTGACATCTTGGTAGAAACCTTCTCCGTTTCTTCGTTTGCATCAGCGAGGTTTTTAAGCAATCTGCCTAAATGGCAAAACAAGTAGTAGATTTTGATCCTCATTCCTGTTTAACCTTCAGCTGTTTTTGTTCTGGCTTTAGCTGCTGGTATCCTAAGCCACGCTTGTGCGTACACATAATTATACAATGATAATTTTTCGTTCGCTTTTTTAGATATCGTCGAAACCATTCTAGTTTGACGTTACTGACTCACGGGAAGTAGTATGCACCCAACTGCCTCATGGTTAACTTCTGTATCTATCAACTGTCTTTGTGACTTCATATGTAATTAAGTCACCTTAATATATATAGTATTGCTATGTACTGCCGTCCAGTTAGTATAGATGCTCCATATTTTTCATTCTATCTACAGGTTCCTTTACGAAGATTCGTGAATGTGAAATTAAATAAATAAATTCTGATGAAATTAAATTTACGTCTGATTATCTTCCTACCTCTCCTTTCAGCATCCTTTCTCATATTTGTCCACGGTCACGATACATTTCTTGCTTACTTCCGCAATTGTCAATGATGACCTGACTATGTTCCGGTTTATCATGTCATATTTCCTTAACCTCGACCCTCTGAGCTTAATTTTCTATTTAGCGTACATCTGACTTTTAATTGGCTGATCAAAACAAACCCACAAATCTATTTTTAATTCTGACTTTGTGTTCTCTTATCCCCGCTCTATTTATCATTTGAAAAGAGGTAACTCCATGTTTATCAATTTTTCTTAAAAATCATTTAATCCCCAATTTTTTATCATCGCCTGAAGAAGCACAACATAGTGTCGAAACACGAAAGCTATTGTGAATCGATTTCAACATGTTTTTGTTATAGTCTCTTATAATAAAAATTATATATATATATGTGTATTATAATACAAATATGCATAAATATATTATAATGCATATATATATATATATATATATATATATATATATATATATTCATTCTTTTTGTCTTACTTTCGTTCTCTCTTTCTTTTTTATCTTTCTTTCTTTTTGCTTTTCTCCCTTATTGTCATTTTTTCTTTTTGTCCTTCCTTTATATTTGCTTTCTCTTTTTTGCTTTCTCTATTTTGTCTTTCTTTTTCTTTTTTTTTTTTGCCCTTCCTTCCTTTTTGTCTTTCTTTCTTTTTGTCATTCCTTTATTTTTTCATCCTTTATTTTTCTTTTTCTTTTTTTGTCATTCTTTCTTTTTGTCTTTCCTTTATTTTTCTTTCTTTCTTTTTGTCTCTGTTTTTCCTTCTTTTTCTCTTTCTTTCTTTTTCCCCTTCTTTCTTTTTTGTCATTCTTTTTGTATCTTCTTTTATTTTTGTCTTTCTTTCTTTTTGACTTCCTTCTTTCTGTCTATTTTTTTACCTTCCTTTCGTCTTTTTCGTTTTTCTTTTTGTTTTTTCTTTCCTTCTTTCTTTCTTTTGCTTTGTCTTTGTTTTTCTTTCTTTCTTTTTTTATCTTTCATTGTTTTTATATTTCTTTTCCTTTTGTCATTCCTTTCTTTTTGTCTTTCTTTCTTTTGTCTTTCTTTCTTTTTTGCCCTTCCTTTCTTTTAGATTTTCTTTCTTTTTGTCGTTATCTCTTTTTATTCTTCCTTTATTTATGTGTTTTCTTCTTTTTGTCTTTATTTCATTTTCCTTTTTCTCTTTCCATTATTTTTCGCCGTTTTTTCCTTCCTTTTTAAATCGTTCCCTTTATTTCTTTTCTTTTTTTACATTCCAATATTTCCTTTTCTTCCTTTCTTTTTCATTCCTTTGTCCTTTCTTTCGCACATTTTCCTTCCCCCACACTTTTTCCTTCTTTCTTTTTCCCCATTTTCTTTTCCTTTCTTTATCTCCATTTTTTATTCCCATCTTTTTCACTAGACCACTTTCTTTCTATTAATCTTCCTTCCTTTCTCAACCATCCTCCCTTCTTTCTTTCTTTTTCGCCATTCTCTTTCTCTTCCTATACTTTTCTGTTTCTTCTTATATGTGAAATCTAATCATATTCCCATATTTTTCATGCTTACTGTAATATTGTCATTCCAAAATAATTCCTTTGCTTCTTCCTTCTTTTCTTCCTTCCTTCTTTCCTTTCTTTCCTTCCGTCTTTTCTTTCCTACCTTCTTTTCGCTCCTTCCTTCTTTCCTTCCTTCCTTCCTTCCTTCCTTTTCTTCCTTCCCTTTTCCTTCTTTTATTTCCTCCCTTCATTCCTTCCTTTCCTTTCTTCCTTCCTTCTTTTCTTTCTTTCCTTACTTCCTTCCTTCCTTCCTTCCTTTCTTTCTTTCCTTCCTTCCTTACTTTCTTTCATTCTTTCTTTCTTTCCTTTCATTTCCTACCTTCCATTCCTTCCTTTCTTTTCTTCCTTTCTTCCTGTTTTTTTTATTTTCCTTCCTTCCTTTCTTTCATTCCTTCGTCCTTACCTTCTTTCCTTCCTTTCTTTCCCTTTTCCTTCCTTTCTCTCCTTCCCTTCCTTACCTTCCTTTCCTTCTTTCTTTCCTTCTTTTCATTTCCTTTTTTCATTCCTTCCTTTCTTTCCTTCTTTCCTTTTTCCTTTCTTCCTTCCTTTTTCCTTCCTTCCTTCCTTCCTTTCTTTCCTTCCTTCTTCCTTTCCTTTCTTCATTCCTTCTTTCCTTTTTCCTTCCTTCCTTCATTCCTTCTTTTCCTTTTTCCTTCCTTCCTTTTTCCTTTCTTCCTTCCTTTTTCCTTTCTTCCTTCCTTCATTACTTCCTTCCTACTTTTCTTTCCTCCCTTCCTTTCTTTCCTTCCTTCTTCCTTACCTTCCTTTCCTTCCTATCCTTCCTTCCTTCCATTCCTTCTTTCCATCCTTTCCTTCTTTCCTTCCTTCCTTCTTTCCTTTCATCCTTCTTTCCTTCCTTCCTTCTTTCCTTTCTTCTTTCCTTCCTTCCCTCCTTTCTTTCTTTCCTTCTTTTCCTTCCTTTCCTTTTTTCCTTCCTTTCCATCCTTCCTTCCTTCTTTTCCTTCCTTCCTTCTTTCCTTCCTTTCTTTCTTTCCTTCCTTCCTCCCTTCTTTCCTTCATTTCACTCATCTTCCTTATTCATGTTGTTATCTTGTATTTGACACTTCTTAGGTTTACCATTTTTTCTTTCTTGTCTCAAAGGCCATGGAATATTAAGTATTTTTGAAATCGCGTCATCTCTTATCGGCCCCAAATGCTTAATAACACCATTTGAAAGTTGAAACCTGAAATATTAATCATTCGTCAATTCCGACGTGACTATTGTCTTTTTTTTAAGCATTTTTTTCAAATTCAAGTAATGGCCTCGATATTTTATATCGTAGGTTTATATTCCAGATTGCAGATATTATTTCAAGCATTAAAAATGTCTTAAATCAGCTGAAAATTATTCAACATTCATAAATTCACTAAAATTCTTACAAAAAAAAAGCATCATTCATGTTTTAATTCAATACTCTATGTTCCAGATTATAGTCTAAATTCAAAACAGTGATTCATATAATTGTTGTTATTTTTTTCCCCTCTATCTTTTTCAGATTCAAGTAATGGCCTACAATGTCGATCTTTATCCAACACCAAAGAATGCGTCTCAAAGAGTAAAAGGAATTGCTATTCTTTCGGCATTTTTGGAGGTTCGTATGTCTCATCTTTGAAATTTATTTATATTTTTATTTTTTAACTGAACTCAGTATTGAAATCTTTGTATCTAATCGCATGATATAGATTTTTGTTTTGGTCGGAAGGCAATCTGCGACAGAATATTTTGTCTCAAAACATTCTAAGAAAAGAAATGCGATTCTTTGCCGATTACATTCATTTCAATAAAAACCTTCAGTTCTATAGTTGGTACCTACTTTGATGACACAACCTTTTTATTCCTGTCACGATAGTAAGTCAGATCAGTTCGATAAGATCAAAATGGCTGCTGGTATCCAAAATGATTTCTTAGACTCTTGTTAACTGAGACAACGGATGGCTTGTTAATGTTAACTTTAACGCCTTCAGAACAAAACTGCTCTCTATTATTCATCTGAGAGACACTTTTCTGCCTTCCATTTGTATGGCTGATGCTAACCTCCACGAGAGTGACTCGTTGGTCTAACGTTCTCGGCTAACATGAAGTTGAAAGTCTATATTCAATCCATTAGGGAAAAGTTAATTAATAATGATAAATGGCGTCGACGATTACCACCATTTAAGAAAAATTAAAATATAGGAGAAAAAAAGCGTCGACGATTACCTTCAATTAAGAAAGAATACCTCATAGGGCAAAAAAAGCGTCTACTATTACCGTCAGTCAAGAGAAATTATCTCATAGGGTAAAAAAGGCGTCGACGTTTACAGTCAATTAAGAAAAATTACCTCACAGAATAAAACAGCGTCTGTTCTCCTCATCTCTAATGGTAATATTAGCCATTGCATTATAAAGAAACATTCGACATTCATTGACCGAGCAGCCAATGCTGCTTGAGTTAAGCTTTTCTTCACTCCCTGGACGTCGGGCTGGGATTAAAGTGGAGTATCTGTTCTCCTCATCTCTAA